TTCCATAGAATAAATATACGAAGTATTTCCTAAATATTTGTCATTTTGTTCAAATGAGGTAGAACTCGGGTACAAATATGGGGTTTTTACCTAAATATTACTTAGGTGAATACAATTTCCCAAAATCTGACCACATTAACATTATGACAAAAATGTGACTAAGAAGGCCATATTAATGTCATTGTCAGATTTTAATGTCACTGTCAAGTTTTAATGTCACTATAAAATGTCATTTCTGTCACCGTCCGTGTCACTGTAGCCACCACCAGTGTCACTATAGCCACCGTCCGTGTCACGGTAACCACCGCCCGTGTCACTGTAACCATCGCCTGTGTTACAGTGACACATCCATAACGACTCCGGACAGTTACAGTGACACATCCACATTGACTCCGGTAACCATAACACCGCCACAATGACCCATCAACACCACTAATAACCACCGCTAATGTCATAGCCAACACCATTGGTAACCACCACCACCATCGTAACCACCACCACATGGTCACTGCTAACAACTGTGGTCATCGGTGACCACCCCACTCCCCCACCACCGTCACCAGATACCACCCCCATCATTCCTCCACCACGGTCCACAACACACACCCCACCACTCCCCACCGCAGTCCACAGTGCACACCCACCCACACTAGCAAACCCAGCTCCTCCCATGTCAGTATCAGTAGCCGACAACCGGAAACCATCGCCCCAACACTCGAGTTAGAAACCCTAGCCTCCAGGATCTGAAATCTAACCGTCGGGATCTGGAATCTATCAGGTCTGGAAAGGATTTTGAGCGGCGGCGGACGAGATTCCATCGAAGACGACAACGATGGAGGTGATTGATAAGTCCGTATTTTGACACGCATTTGATGCGTGTTGGGATCGGCTTTTGATGGTTTACCTAGCTTTAAGGTGTTGCAAGTCTCAATTTTAGCTCAAGTTATGTTTACCAGGCGTTGGTTCGAGTTTTGTGTCATTTGGAGTCAAAATCAGGAATTTAGAGTTCGGCGCCGACGCTTGAGGAGCAATCAGGATGATTCGATATGCATTCGAGAATAGATTGAGAGCTTTTGGGGTCATCGGGAGGTTCACGATGAAGGTTTGAAGATAAAAGAGCTTTAAGATTGGCTACGGGATCAAAAGAAGACGAAGCGAGCTTGAAAACGACGATCAGGATGACCTTCTATCAATCGTTCAAACATATCTCTTTGTAGAAGCATCTAAAGGATACGATTCAAGTCTCATATGAAATACAACTTCAAGAGTTACAAATCATATGAAGACACCATTTCGAGAATATGAGAGGCGAAAGGTGAAAACAGACGATGAAGTCGGATGATCGCTGTTGAGATTTCAGAATGAGACCTTCTACCATTTAGGTCATATCTTTTGATTGGATGATTCAAATCTCATTCGGAAAGTTGTGGTGGATAATGAACTTCATTATCTACAACTATCATGAAGGAACTAAAGTCAAATTCGGAAGTTTGACGCACGCCGTGCGTAGGGGAACGCACGATCGTGCATCCGAGGCGAGAAAGCAAAGGAGCCACTGCCATGTACGCACGGTCGTGTGTGGCCAAGGAAGCACTATCGTGCGTACGTCCGAAACGCAGAGAAACGCGGATTTTGACCCCTTTTTAGTCTCAATTCAGCCCAAACTCATCTCCTTTCAATAAATTAGATCTTCCTTCTCCTGTTTAAGTGTTACGAACATTACGGAGAGGCTTAGGGACGAATTTACTTGCGTTTTTATCATTGTTTACTCCAAGACCCTGGGATTATTTGTAAGTTCATCTTTTTAATTAAAGACAATTAACTCTATTCTTCCCAATTATGTTGATTCTTCAATTATGAATTGTGAGTAGTTTAATTAGGGATTTGGAATTGATGAAGGGGTTAATCATGATGTATGGCTAGTTTCTTGATGGTTTAATTGCATGAATGTCGTTTAATTTATGTTTGAATAATTTAAATGATATCTCTTGTAATCTAAATGGCCACTAGAATTACTATTGTTTGTAGAATAAGTTAAGAGAGGTCTAATTTATTCTAGGATACATTCACACACACTTAATCGTTCGCTAAGAGATTAGTAGCGATTAAGGGGTCGTAAGCTCGCTCGTTTTAGCAATAATTTAGGATCTTGTCGCATGAGAGATCAGCCTGGTCCCCTAAATTATTGTACTATACGCCGCGAGAGCGGTAAGAACTTAGTAATGATTAGCTAGGCTCAATTAAATTAATTTCATGTAATTAGGCCTGATCTTCCAGAAATCTGGTTACCCCGGAATCAATCCATGTTCCCTTCTTCGTTAATTAGAGAGAAACCAATCTATTTTTATTCGCTCATTCGCATTAGTTAATTTTCAACCAATCAATCTCACACGACGCATTTATTTTATTTATTTTCAATCGCTGAATTTAATTAATTCTTGATTCCCTTTTGTCCGCCCCTGTGGAGACGATACTCGTACTTTTACCAGTATACTACCATCAATTTAAGTGCGAGAAAACTCACATCAGTGATTCAAACCGGCGGTGATTGACAAGCTCCATCGAAGAAGACAATGACGGAGGTGATTCTAACCGATGGCGATTGACAAGCTCCATCGAAGAACACATCGAAGGAGGTGCTCCGAAGCAGCGGCGAAAGAGTTGCAGGAGAGAAAAAATGAGAAGAAGAAGATTGGTGGCAGCGTTCAGCGAACTCGAAGTATGAGCGGAGGTATGCTTCCTCCTGGAGAAGACTTTGTGTTCAGCTTTCTGTTTGAGGGATGAAGACGATCGGGAGAGCAAATAGTTGTGGGTTGGGCCTTTTAAATTCTTTAATCACTTTTTTGTCCTAACATAAATTAGTCATATTTTTGTCTACCCAAACTCTAGAAGTAATATTTGGGTCATTATTTCTACAAATATCATACTCCCTCCGTCCCAATTTGATTTGCAAAATTTCATATATTGGTTGTCCCAGAATGATTTTCCACTTTCTTTTTAGGTATGTAAAGAAGAATAAAGTGACAACTTTGCTCTTACTTTTACTTTTTTTCCATTAATTTAAAGGCATATACTTTTAGGAAGATGGGTAAAAATGTAAAAAGCAAACATTATTTATTGTCATTCTTTAATCCTTGTGCCAGTCAAAATTTGCAAACTACATATCCCAACTAAAGGCTTAGTGATCCATCTTTCAAGGTCAAATTTCCATGTCTTATTACTAGTATATGTATGTGTATGTGTATGTGTATGTGTATGTGTATGTGTATGTGTATGTATATGTATCTGTATGTAATACTTGAGATTAATTTAAAGGGATTAATAGTATTATTCATACCAACAAAGTGCATCCCCTTTTAAGGAAGTTCACTGGCTAAGAATTCCAAGTTAAGCATGATTGCATGCATGGGAGTAGTATTAAGATCAGTGACCTCCCTAAAAAGTTTCTTAAGGCACGCATGAGTGAGGACAAACTGCGAGGTAAAGACTTATGTTGGTTTGTGAGCACAGTACTAGATGTCTGAAGAGTAATCTAGGAGTAAATACCTCAAGCCCTGCGGGATCGGAGAGTTACAAGTGGTATCAGATCAACCCCTGCGACAGTGTATTCATCTATTGGATATTGAGCGGGCACTTAGGAGGGAGGATTCTGAGGTTTGATTGAAATTGGTTTATGGGTGCAACAAGAACGCTGCGTTCTTAAGTGGGAGTGATTGTAATACTTGAGATTAAATTGAAGTGATTAATAGTACTACTCATATCAACAAGGTGTGTCTCCTTTTAAGGAAGCTCATCCTATTAGGCTTGTGTTGGTTTGTGAGGACAGTACTAGAGGTTTGAAGAGAAGCAATAATTTTAGGAAGATGAGTAAAAGTGTACCCATCTTTGTGCACCTCAAAAAGAAAGATGGTCTAGCGGTCGTCTCAAAAAGTACCTTATTGAGGCGCACCTTCCTATATTTTTCTTTTAATTTTTTGGGCACTTTTGAAAATCGCAGTTACTTTTAACGGTCTTTTTCAGACGTTTTAACGACGTGACCCTATTGTGATAACGAAATTCAAACACATGAACCACTTTGATAAAGAATAAAACAAATGACCTTATCTGAAAACGGACTCAACCACGAGTACCTTTTCTGTACTTTAACCTGAAAAATAATGTGGTACTCATATACAACAATCGTCTGATTGATCAATTTTAGTTACTTAGTGTCATCGATTGTAATTATTGATGTGAACAAAGATAATAACAAGAGAAAATTGTTATTGCTAAGACAAAGACAGAGATTTTCACAAAAAACGGGACTTAATATTTGGTTTTCCTTAAATATGATTAGTCATTCCATTTTTACCCTCAATTGAATTAATTAACACATTCAATTGACTCCTAGTTCTCTTGCACACCCAAAGTAATTCGTTGGTGGTGGAAGCCGATTACAGCGGTGACTCTGACGTCAGCTCTGGCGTCAAAATTCTGACAGGCTGCCAGAAAAAAAATCTCAAAATTTTCGGCAGTGGCAGCTAGAGGACGGCGACATGTGGTAGTCCGGTGAGTCTTGGGGAAATAAAGTTTATGAGGTTGTCTTGATCAATCACAAATAAAAAATCTTATTAAAGAATGTTTAAACTAGGTAATCATATTTTGAGAAAAAAAAGTTTGAAAGATAAGAACATCTTAGGTTGTCGGGCTGTTTCAAAAAAATACGTCACATGTTTTTTTGAAAGATACGAACATGTTATGTTGTTGATAAGTTTATAAAAAGCTAATAAAACAGGGCCAGGAATGAAACACGCAAAACTGAAAAAATCCGACCTGCCGGATTCGAACCAGCGACCTAAGGATACTTGCGGTTTACCCACTACAGTCCTCCGCTCTGCCAACTGAGCTAAGGTCGGTTGTTGTTAAAGTCTCCATACATCAATACATAGTGTATACGTTTAATAAGACAGCTGTTTTCTACTATTTTGTTAATTTGAGAGTTTTAGCCTTTTAGGCAGATGCTTTACATTTATAAAAAATATAGCGTTGACGTTTTCTTTTCTTTTACATACTTTTAACAATAAAAAATCCTCCTGAATGGACGCGATCATCATCTTCATCATCACCATGCTCGCCCGTTGACCACAATCCCCGACGTGATTTCCGATCGCTGCGTTTGTTCTTCATTCTCATCTGGCATAATGTTTCCAGCTCTTTCATCTTAGATCCGTCAATTTCTCAGCAGGGGCAGGTATGTGCGAATGGCTTTCATCGATCACCTCGGTTTTTTGTTGTTGAAATCTTAGGATATTAGCATAATTCTGTGAAAACTTTAGGGACATTGGAGAATATTATATAGATTTTCCGCATTAGGGATCCGCCATGGGAGGAAACGAGGCGGTGAAGCTCGACGACGAGCAGATAGCGGAATTGCGGGAGATTTTCCGGTCATTTGATCGCAACAATGACGGAAGCTTGACTCAGCTGGAGCTCGGATCGTTGATCCGGTCGCTCGGCCTCAATCCGAGCACGGATCAGATGGATTCGCTGATCCAGAAGGCCGATAGGAACAGCAACGGCTTGATCGAGTTCTCGGAGTTCGTCGCACTGGTGGAGCCGGAGCTCATTCCGGCCAAGTGCCCGTACACGGAGGAGCAGCTGCTGAAGATATTCCAGATGTTCGACAGAGACGGCAACGGATACATAACGGCGGCTGAGTTGGCGCATTCCATGGCCAAGCTGGGCCATGCCTTGACGGCGGAGGAGCTCACGGGGATGATCAAGGAAGCGGATACTGACGGCGATGGTTGCATAAACTTTCCTGAGTTCGCTCAGGCCATAACTTCTGCTGCATTTGATACTTCCTGGAGTTGATCTGGAATATTTTCATTCCCTCCATTACCCCATAGCCTCCATCTTTTAAATTCCCTTTTTAAAACCATTTTGCCATGAATTTAGTTTTGATTATAGTTCCATAAGGCAGTTGTTTAATGGAAAATCACCTTATTATTATGGGTAGTACCATAGTCCATAACCCCTACATTGTGTTGGCACTTGGCACTTCTGCTTTTCACACTCACTTTTTCTTTTATCCCAAACTCATCTATAAATGGTTGCAAGTATTCTAAGATTATCAATATTGTTTGGCTTGGTGATTGTGTGATTAACATTCAAAAAGTGTGGATTTAGTTGCTACTATGATTATAGTTTTCATGAGAGTTTTTCTTATGAAAACATTATTTACTTTGTTCGTTCATTAATTGTTTAAATACAGTCATACATACAATTTATAAGAGTATAACGGTCAAACGTCGATATTGAAAAGCAAATCTGCAAAGACAAAATTTATGTATCGCACTCATCCCATGACATCTAATTTGTGTTTTAAAAAGCTACACAAAATCAAGGCATCTCTTATGGAGAGACAGATTCCACTAAAATGATTTCCACATTTTTAATAAAAAAAGATGACACCCCATCCCTGAGTAGGCATGTCAATAGGTCGGGTCTAGACCCGAACCCGACCCGGACCCGGTAGTTTTTAATGGGTACGGGTCTATATTTTATTCCGTTTATCTGGATCCGGATCCGGATCCGCTAGTATTTTATTCCGTTTATCTTCCTATGTAAACTGTTAGGAAATTGATGTAACGTACCTTGAAAGTACAGTAGAGGAAGTTTAAATTTTCTCAAACAGATCTTCCATGATTATGACAAAACAACGAATATAGCAATAATAACAGATCTGAGTTAAAACTTACAGATCTTCAAGTCTAGCGGTGATAAATCTTGACCTTAGGTATCCATGTGATTTCTCCTTTCCGAAATAACGGTTAGATCTCCCTAATTAAGAGAAAGGCTAGGAAATCTCTTCGCAGGAAAATAAACTGATAATACTGAATCTCAAAAACTGGTCTACCAATTATGAAGGAGAAGGATGTATTTATACTAGTTCTAAACTAGTTTCCCAATCACAATGAAAGTCTTTCTCATTAATGAGTTCTAGTCCTACCAGGACCAATACTTATCATTAACGATCTTATTAAGGAATTTTATCAATTCAGGACCCGAAAGATAGATTAATTATCAATTCGGGATCTGAAAGATAAATGCATCGATATAGGACCCGAATGATGAAAAACTATCAATTTAGGACCTAAATGATTGAAAACTATTAATCTAGGACCTAAGTTGTCATAATTTTTTTATTAAAAAATTTTAAATATTATTTCGTTTTATTAAACTAATAAATTTTGTAAAGAAAAGTTTATCAAAAATTAATAATGGAATTAATAAAAAATTAAATAAATCAAAACCTATGAAACGTTAGGTCCTAAATTGATAGTTTTCCATCATTCGGGTCCTATAATGATACGTTTCATCTCTCGGGTCCTGAATCGATAATTAATCTATCTTTCGGGTCCTGAATTGATAAAATTCCTTTGATTAAATAAGTAAAACAAAATAAACTAATAATAATATCAAAGTGGCTGCACGTCACTTTGCGTGTTATTATTATTATTTATTTCATTTTCTATTTTCTTTTAATCTAGTTTATCAAACTTAATTAATTCTATCAAATAGAACTTTCCTTCAACATGATGAATTAAATATATTAATCTAATTAATAATTAACTCGTCTTATTTTCAGCATTATGAATTAAATATTATTTAATCCAATTAATAATATTTAATTCCTTCTAACAATTCAATCGGAAGGTATAATCACTTGTTGTGTGACCCATAGGGCCTTATATACTAAGCACTAATCAAATTAAGGTCTTAGTAGAATCCCTAGATGATTTATCAGACAAACTTAATATATCAGGACGTTTGCGAGGACTATTCAAACTCCCTGTAATATAGAGCTCAACGAACATTCAACTAAGTCTAGAACGTGATATTGTGTCTATTCCAATAACTTAGTCTCTGTCTCTCAATCTTTCTAGATGATCCATAACGATCATATTTGATATCCAAAACGAATATATTTTTGCATTGACCAGTGACTTTATGATCCATCTAGATATGAGAAGTAGAATGTTCTCTCTTAATCTGTTATGATGAATGAATCCTTTCATGGCTCAACTACTACTCCATGTGCTTCGTGATGCACCCAACACATGCCGTATCTACCCCGATTGGAGTGCAAGCGTTGGTCATGGTCAAACTACATCACTCCGTACATGTAGTACATATTGACCTCAAGTCGGAAGACTATTACACTACTCTATACGCTGATAATCTCATAGACACATGAATAGAACTTATCAAATGGTTCCTCGGTGGGTATGCCAATATTCTCTAAAATATGTATGTGACCATCATGAATTACATGAACTCATAGTTGTGAGATCAACTATACTTTCTAAAAGTATGATGCAGTCCACATATCATCAATATCCCATTCTCGATGATCATTGATTGGAGCTATTTTAGGACTTTATGTTATATCATATAAGCTCCACTTACTTATTGACAACATAAGTCCAAGGGAACACAATTATGAATAAGATATTGACAATTGAAATACTTAATCATCAATGTGTAATACCGTATATATCAAATATATAAAACTGAATGTGATCAAGTACATATATCTAAAAAGTGATTGTCGCTAGGACATATATACTAACAAAAACAAGAGTAATGCCCCAAAAAACTTCCTCCCTCCAAATACTTAGTCTCTTGCTAATGCACCATAGTACTTCACAAACCATGTTTCAAAATTGCTAAAAAAGGGAAAGTATTGATGAAAAACAATGTAGTGGGCGAACACCATTACCTGCTGGTGCAGTGAATGAAAGACGCTGTAAAATTCAAGTATGTGAGCGGTAGGCAAGCGAGAGAGGGGGAGATGCATGTCTGGAGGTCTCCGTAAATTTAACCAAGTCTCGAGCTCATAAAACCCCGGCAAAAACAGGTCATTATTGTTGCTAATAAAAATGTGACAGACCTTCGTCTCATCGGTATTGAGCTAGAAATCAAGGTAAATATGTTTAGTTGAACAAAATAGAGAACTGTCATGTATTAGTGAGTTAGCAACCCTGAAACCTCTGAAGAGACTATAAGTTACCATCAAAAGAAAAAGATGCAGCAAAACCTTATAAACAGGCTGTTAACCAGTTAAAAACGCAACAAAAACTACCAATAATTACCTCATCAACCCGATTTTCATCAGAGTATTAAAGCTAACAAAGCCTGCGTTTGCTTCCTTCCAACACCCTTCTTGAAACCTATCAACCCATTGTGAGTAAAAGATGTATACAACAACTAAACCCAGCTCAAAAGTCAAAACAAAGCCAATGGATTTTAGGTATCACCAAACCTTTTTAGTCAAATTTGACCTTTTATCACACAAGCTCCAAATAGCATCTAGTATTCTACTTCTCATTCTCTAGTTTTTTATTTTTCTAAAAGTAAAAAATGTCCAATTTTTAATTGCAGGCAAGTATTATTATTCAAAATTAATAATCACATAAAGCATTAATTTTATGAGTCCATAGATCGTAAACAAACACATGATCCTCTCCGACAAATAGTTCGAGACTAAATCAACACATACCATGAAACCAACATTCATTACTTGATATTAAAGGAACAAATATCAAATCCATGAAATCAATAAGCAGAATCAACATGCTCTCTAATCAATATTAACTTAAGGTAAATTCGGTGTACATAATAAACATTGAAGCTCATCTGGACTATTGAAATAACAATTCAATACAAAAAGATAATTCACACAAAGATAATTCACACAACATAAAATTAGTGAGGAAAAAAATACAAAGCTTACCTGAATCTGCAAGAAATCGAAACAAATTTGATTGTTGATATAAAATTTAGAAGAAACAACCACATCAAGCAAGAGGAGCGAGAGATTCAGCTGGAGAAGATTACCAAACCTGCGGATAAATATGAGTTGTCGCTAATCGGGAATCAACTATTGCTAGTCTGGAATCTCAACATTAAAGGAGTTCCGAAGATTTGTGGGAGAAATCAGTCAAAATTCTAAAGTAAAACCATCTGACCTGACTGTGCTACACCTCGTAGTAGAGACACATTCCTCCTCGCCAATAAATATACTTCAAAAAGAGGGACGAAATCTCCAAGTCAAAAAAAACTGCTTTTCACCGGCTAGAAATCGATTGAATTCGGTCAAGATAATCGATACGGGAGGCTTTCATTCAGAAGACTCGTAGTGCTCCTGAAACGCAGACTCTCGCTAATTTAGACTCACAGTTGAGATGCTTACTTGAGAGAAAGCTTCGTCCTAGCCCCTGAAACTCAGTTCGTCGGTTTCTCCTCCGTTAGAGGAGGTTTCTCTTGGGTATTGGATAACATCTAGGGTTTTGTTTGGTTTTACCACTCCAAAAACTTTAATACTCTGTACTTAGTAAATGGTATTAGCGTCCACACAAATAGTACTCGGTGATATTTTCCCCTAATATTTTACTGAGATTTTGTGCATCCACAAGTGAACGCAAAAGACCAATTACTTGTGTTCACCTGTGTCGACGCAAAAAGTTTGGATGCAAATAACACTTTTTCTTGTAGTGTAGGCAAATGAGAAAAATTGGCAAGGTCCACTTTCAAACCTCCGGTCTTGAATTGCCTCAACTTCCCAGGACCAAGTTAAAATTGTAATGGTTGCTTGTGTTTTTCATAGTCACACGGACTGCATTGAAGTAAGAAAATAATAGATCCTCTTCAATTTATTATTTTGACCCACATACTCAATACGCCTCTTGCACTTGTGTGACATCAGCACCAATGCACCAAAAACAATGAAGATGCTCTCAGGGTATAGACGAATTGGAGAAGTATAATCCCTCAACACCAGACATAGCTATATTGACTCGAGATGACTATTTGTGTGCATCAAGCTTTAAATCACTAAATTCAAAAATTGTTTAAGATCATATTACAAATTAGACCTCCATCGTTCTATGGAATTGGGTATGAGGCACCTAAAGCGAGAGATTTCACCTTTTTTAATTGACCGATTAGAGTACATCCACCGACTACCTTTCCTTAAATTAGGTTGACACATTCCTTTTTCTTCCAATTTGTAATGATTACCATTCCATTTCATTTGAATGAAAGAACATTTTTCTAGTTTTTACATAAATCTCAGGTGTACATTTTCTTTTTTCGTAATACGTGTACCAAATCAAAATGAAGGTGGTAATATTCGGGCACGAAGGAGAATTGCAATTCTCAAGTATTTGAGGATGGAGAAAATCAATTATGTGAAGATAAGGTATTGTGCTTGGTCTAGCTATTGAAGTATGATTGTGCATAAGATACTACCTCTTCCCATGCTGTAAGATATATTTGAACAAAGGATATAGCGATTGATTTACAACTGTAACTTCCAAAAAGTAGAAAGGGTAAGATAAATTCATAAAAATAAAATGTAAATGGTGAATAAAGAGATAAAGTGAAAAAAGTAGAATGGGAGTGGAATTCAATTTAGAAAAATATTCATATTGAAGTATATCAAGTTGATTTCCTAAGGCTCACCACAACTCTTGGGTTGAAAAAAAGCTATTTTGAGCTTTTGACCCCCCCCCCCCCCCCCCCCCCCAATCCCTACAATCCATGTATTTTAAAGTGCTAGAGTGGGTAGATGGCATCCTATGAGTGAGAATTAGGTAACCTTATTCACCCTAGCCATTAACTCTTCACCAGACTAGATGGAAGAAGAAGAAATAGTTGTAGCATGACAAAACGAGTCACATTGAAAATTTAAATATCAATTTTATTTTATGTATTATAACTTTTTTATATGTATTTCAATTTTTACAAAAAATATATCAAAATTCTTAATTTTTTTATAATCTTTCATTTGACATCAATATTACATACGGAGTATATATATTTATAAGTGCTGAAATTAAGATCCCATAATTAAAATATTTTCTTACATCTCTCTATTATTTTTATTTAAAAATAGCTTTCAAGTCACAAAAATGAAATTAAACTTCAAATTTATTTATTTTTACATCCAAATGTTTAACTTTCTAAATCATAATTATTTGCTAAAAAACGGGGTTGATATTTAATAATAAATGTAAGACTTTAATTAAAAAAACTTTCAACTTATAAAGCACGGACTACAGAGTAGTACATGTGATCAGTGTCTCGTCATTAAAAAATGGTGCGAGTTAAATTGGGCCACCAAATCTGACAGATAGAAAGTGAAACTCTGTCCCCGACACTTGCAGAAGTCCTATGCATTTTTTTAGTATAGTAACCTCTCATCGCAATTGTCGGGATTCGAACCCGGGACTTAACCCTTGTGGCACTCCCTCACTCCCACTTGAGCTACACCCACCGGTAAACAAATTGGGCTACCAAAGTCTACCCAACATGTACCAATTGGCTAAAAGGCGCAATGAATTTGAGTTACTTCCATGCCAATTTATGCTGAGGTATATCAGCTACTACTAAAAAAAATCAGCTAGAACTAGCCATGAAATGCATATCTTTGTAATACACTATACGAAGATTTTCCATAAAAGCACCAAAATGTAATAGCATACAAGCAAAATTAGGCAAAAACCGAAAAACTAAACAGTTCTTGATAATGCTGCTGCCCATCACACCAGATAACTCCACCTGCAAAGAAAACATATGGAAAAATTTCAAATCCATCAATTCTGTAAGCATCAAGATTACCTTTAGAATAAACTGATCCAGACATAAGCTCACCTGAAAAGCCGTAGCTGAAATTTTACCATAGGAAAATATGTACAATACAATTACACAGCGCTAGGTGATCCAGAAGCAAGAAAACCTAGCTGCTCGGTAAGATGATTCACATTATTTACTCTGTCCCATTCAACTTCTCCTGCAGTCATATCATCATCTTCTTCCACTCCACCATCACACTCCAACAAAATGGAGTTAATATCATCCGTGTCTCCGGCCAAAGGGCTTGCAGAAAGAATGTGATCCCAGAAGACATCATTAATCCCAGGAAGTTTTGGCATCTCATCAATCAAAACATCAATGTCAGGGTCAGAAGAAAACCCATCTGACATGACTGGTTCCATGTTGTTCACGACTGGTTCCATGTTGTTATCAACAGCAAAATCTGCCATTGTGTTCATCTCCGGGACTTGAGATTGAGTAACTTCCGAAGCCAAATCAGGAGTTGATGGAATATTAGTTGTTGCTAGTGGTACCTCGGACAGACTAACCCCAGAAATTTGATTTGTCGTATTAATGCTGTTATCAGTCAAGAAACCACTAGTACCATTAAATTTCGGTTCCAGCCTAGCAGATGAGTTTAATTTCAAGATTTGCCTTAATAGTGATTTCGCTGCTTCGTTCATCAAAGGCTGAAACCTAACAATTTGTCCATCGGGCAATGTGGAAACAGGCTTAACATTAAAACTTTCTTCTCCCTGGTTTGGAAGTCTCCTTTTCTTATTAACTCCAGAAATGAGCAAACTGTCACCCTGTTGATGAACCATCTGGGCTACAAAACCTGGGCTTTGCATAGCCTTAGCGAGAAATGACATCATCTGCTGTTGTCGCTGTTCCATCAGATGAACCTTCTGCCCAACATTCTGCAATTGGTGGTCAGTTGCCTGTTGCTGTTGTCTCAACTTGACGAGTTCCTGCATGAGCACATTCTTATCTCTTTTGAGCCTGTCAACTTCTTCCTCTAGCCCGGGCTTCCCGACTTCTACACATGACCTGACCGGTTCAGCTTGGTGGACTTGAGGAGGAGGTGTTGTTGGTGGGGGATGTTGATGATGCGCCTGGACGTGCTTTCTACGGGTTATACTCTTTAAGAGGTGTTTACTGCCTCTTAGAAAGCCCTCATTAGCAAATTCCCAGCGATCAGGGTGGACTTTCCTGAACCCCTGCTTGCCCAAAGAGAAAAGCAGAGACTATAACCATCAAGATATATAGCAAGTCCTGTGAACAGATTGCCCAAATACAATACCTTAAAATAGATCTATAACGAAGTCCTTCCGACCATCTAATAAGCCAATGATGTTTTGGTAAATCTTAAAACACGATTATCCAGTAATTATTACTACTATTTCAGTTTTCAAGAGAAGGACGAATGGAACACCAACCAAATCTCTATACCGAAAATTTCAATTGCTTATGAAACTAACGCAACCAATTAGTTGGTATACTCCACACTGCTAATACAGTATACCAGAGGTATCAGTTTTAGTTTGCGCTACTGGCTAATTTAAGAAGCTGGTACTGTTGGTTTTTCACAATGATCAAAATAAAACTAGCAGAATTGATTTTTCACGCAGATCGAGAAGAAACTAGCACAATTCACTCTCCCATTTTCCACAAAGATCGAGATGAATTGGCATGTTTAAAAACCAAGAACAATAAAAGCTCAGTTTAATCCGCGATTAGGGTTCAAGCTAAGCAATAACAGTGAAAGGAGTATCTACTAGTATAAAATCAGAAAAAAAAAAAAAAAAAAGGGAGATAAGATGACGGCGGCGATACTAACATAAGTGTTCAATTGTCGGACGAAACTGGAGAAATTGTTGTGCTTGAAGTACTTGGGCAAGATGACTTTGGCGAACTCGGGGACGTTCCACACAACGAAACTGTTATTGCTCTCGGTCCAAGACACGACGGCGTCCGTGGACGGATCCTCCACCATATCGTACGTCTTGCTGAGGAATGGCGGGGGGGAGTTTCCGACGGGCATAGCAACGATTTCCTGACCGCCGTCCATGATTGACAGAGCTCCGATCGTTCTTCTCACTTCAGTAGAGGCGCAGAGAAAATGTGGAGGCGAGAGAGATCAATGGAGAGGCATAATGGAAACGGATAGAGAGCGGTGAGATGTCAGATAAAAGGGAGTGAAATGAAAGAAAATGAAGCGAGGAGAGCGACAGGCGGTGCTAGTGAGAGAAAAGCACAAGAGAAGTGGACTGGAGATTTTGTTAATTTACTATTCAGTACTCATTCTTTATATTTCCACAAAAGAACCAATCTTTTTCATACTCCACCTCCCTCAAAATTCTTTCTGATTTTACCCGTATCACGATTTATTGAGAACAAAGTAGAAATTGTAGTTGAATTTGAGAAAGATAAATTAATGTTAATCATACAAATCTTTCTTAAAAGAGAAATGGGAATAACTTTTTGTGACGTTCCAAAATATCAAAGTGATAAATGAAAAGAATTTTATGAAACGGAGGAAGTATTTGTGTATTTCAAATTTCAATTAGGGAAAATATGAAAATGTACTCTTGTTCTTTAAATGGAGGCGTAGATATGCATGTGAAGTTTGAAAAGTGAAAATATACCCCTAATACTCTTATCAAGGATTAAATTAATTCTTAATGATGATCATGATCATAATAATAACAATTTTTGTTAATTAATTACTATGTAGAAAAAATAATTCAAATACCCCAACGTTAAAAGGATGTTAGATAAATACTCAAAACTTACATATGTAATTTAAATACCTCAAACTACATAAAAAATTATTTTAACACCATGGTCATATATTAATATAAAACTTATGATCATATAATTTATCGTGAAAATCATATGTTCATAGTGTTAACATAACTATTTATATAAAGTTTGAGATATTGAAATTACATATGCAAATTTAGAGTGTTTTATGTCACACTATTTTAATGTTGGGGTATTTAAATCATTTCTTCCTTACTATATGTTGAGGTTTATTCTTCAGGATTCAAAGGCTCAACACTGTTCTTTGGGTTTTGCAGGAATGTCTTAGTTAAATGAGTATTTAGATGAACTATTAAGGCAATGAGAATACAAGAGTAAGTAGCAAATGAGTGCAAGTGGATCCGGTTCTATCCCAACAAATAGAATGATTACAACACTATTGTCGAACAATAATTCCAACCCTCTAGGCAGAGCTAAAAGCCATTGAGAAAGATAGAGAGAAGTATAATGCTAAGAGTATAAAGTTCCTAACCCTTTATATAATAAAATAAATGTTGTTATTATACTACGAGTGAGTAGTTGAAGGGGGTGATGTGGCCGTCCCTAAGTGGATGAACCCCAACCATAAAATCCTCCATATCTAATGCATTAAATACGTTTCCCGCTAACTCTGAGATTTCCCGTCAACTGCTTGGGGAAGTTATGTCTTGAGTAACTGTTGGATGGAGCCGAGGAGCTCAAGTGTGGAATCATGGTCGCTCAGCCATTCCCGTGTGGAATCATGGTCGCTCAGCCATTCCTGTGCGGAATCTCGCGAATATTTGTTGAGTACGTCTTTGACATGGGCCGGGCCGCTGTGGATATATGGTCCTGTATCGGAGCAGGGCCTAATATCCTAACACTATGTTAGTATTGAAATTATTAATTGTCACTTTGGGCTGCATTGATCGATTCTGCTGAAATTTCTGAAGCTCTGACTGAAGTGGCTGTATTAGTTGATTATGTTGATTTATGAAAAAAATTACATCGAAAATTTATTTTATTAAATAAATAAATAAATAATTGTATGAATCAGAAAAGTAACTTCAATCTTACTTGTTTTTATTATTACACAATTCTGGCTAAATGGTCATCTACAATAGCTTAAGTCAATACAACCAGAAAAATAACTTCAATCTTGCTTGTTCTTATTATTACATGGTTCTACACATGAAATAAAAAATTACATTTTTGGTGAAAATTTTGGCTGATAAGCAAAAATAACAAGACAACTACAATATTTTGAAGTTCTAGAAAAAATGTACCTAGTAGCGTTTCAAATCCACAAACATCGGTCAATCTCTTACAATAAAATCACTCGGGACAACTTTATTTGTACAAAAATGATGTTTGTACTCACTCTTATACCCACTTTTGTACCCATCCATGTTTGTGAAAGTTTTTTTTTATCTGTGAACATCGATTCATAAACAATATTTTGCACAAACAAAATATTGTTGGAACTATCCCATATTTGATTCAACGGTACTGGTACCATAACTATTTTAACATTACAGAACTGTTCAATCTTAGAACAAAGACCACTTTGTATCATTGATTCCATTTTAAAATGGTACCACATCATGTCATACCAATGTCAAATAATGTCATACTTCAAAACTCCACACAATGGATCAATATTTTAAAGATAATACCTTGAAGTATAAATTATTAAAAATCATATACTCCCTCCGTTCCCATTTTATCTTCCATTTCCCATTGGCACACAATTTAAGAAAAGTAGGTATTGTGTGGTGGAGAGTTGTGCAGAGGAAAGAGAAATGTGTAAGAAATGTTGTGAACCACAAATTCTTTACCAAAAAGAGAAAGTGAAAGTTTAATTGGAACGGATGAAAAAGGAAAGTTGGAAGATATAATAGGAACGGAGGGAGTACATGCTACTAAAAGTAAACCTCCATAGTTAACTAATGAATAATATAAGTAACAATTATTATAAGTAATTACTTTATTTTTGTCAAATATAAGTAATTATTTAAAAGAATTATAAATGTTTTTATCTAACAACCATTTGTCCCCACATAGAGGGATATAAACCTCCATACTCCACGTAGACAGTCTTATTCATGTACAACATTCCTACTAAAAAAGCCTTACACATTTTTCATTTAATAATAAATAATGATACACAAACCATTTTTTGTCTTCACATGCATTTTTATAGCTTTATTTCCGTGGATAGTAAAAAGTTGTGCTTTTGTGAAGAATATATAAAACTATATATGAATATTTAGACGTTTTATGCAAGACGTTTTTTTAATGACATATGAATTTTATTTTTTAGACTTCACTCTTTAGAGAATTGTAGATTAAAGAAATATAATTAGAGATAAGAGCTCCGAGGATTAAGTACAAAATGTTCGATTATTCTTGCATCCGTACGTATGACAACACAGATATTAGTGATCATCAGTGTTAGAATTCTTCGGTGGTACCGTGGTAGGCTAATTTGCAAGGCTAAATTCACAAAAATAATGTAAACTTCTTGGGATTGTATGATAATAATCCCCACTAAGATTGTTTATAAAAATAATTTATACTAGCGATAGTGTTTACAAGAGTAAATTGAAATAATTGAAAATAATGTTTGTTTAACACTCTCAAGTCTTAACCCCTACCTTCACTTTCTGTTCATCGTTTTTGGTCTCGGTTAACACTTATATGTTCCAATATAGAGGGAGTCACATATCGAGGAAATGACGTTGAAATTAAACGGGTTTAGTTTGAATTTCCCCGAGAAGAAAAGCGGGTAAGAGAAAAGTGGGAGTAAGGATTGAGAGAATTAAATTGCATTAGTTTGAATTCACCCCAATTTATTCTTACGAATCTTATTGCTAGTTCGAATTATTTTGTAGAATCCCAGAAAGTAAGGATATCCTTGTGAATTTCGCCAATTAACAATACTCACCACTGGTGATACCAATACTCTCGGTAATACTTATTTATATTTGGGAAAATGGAAACTAATAATTCAATCTTTTAGCGGTCTTCTTACAAGAATCCCACCTTTTGATTATTCATGAATAATCCAACATTTGCACCCCATCTTCATTCACTGGTCCCTGACCGATTTATGACCTGTTATTCCAAGTTATTTTCTTATCTTTGTAAAACATTATATCATAATTCTCACCTTATGATCACATAATGTTTTGCCAAGATAAGAAAATAACTTGGAACAACAGGTCATAAATCGGCCAAGGACCAGTGAATGGAGATGAGATGCAAAAGTTGGATTATTCATGAATAATCAAAAGGTGGGACTGATGTAAGAAGACCGTTAAAAGGTTGAATTATTAGTTTCCATTTCCCCTTTTTATTTTGGAAAGTTATTTCTATTTTTAGAAAACACCACAACAGCATTTTATTGTTTTCATAAAAAATGATACTTGCTTTGTGTTTTCCAGCAATCTAAGAGCATCTTTAATGCTACACTTTTAACATTAGAAAAAACTTGCCACATCAGGAAGTCACGAAGTGTTTGATTTTTTTGCTCTGCAATGGGTTTTTCGTTGTTCAACATTATGCTGATGTGTAAAAAATAACTGTAACATTGTCAAACCCACTTTCTCAAATTGGAAAGCCAATCACACTGGCCCAGTCAGCAAACTAAGACTCTTCGTGGGTAAAACATGGGTAGTTTTTATACTTTGCAGTTGAGGGCTTTTCATTTGCAATTACTTTCATTGATTTCATTTAAATAATTGACACACGTATATGAAATAAACCATTGTTGACAGTATGCATTGTGTACAACTACGGCAGTTTAGTTTCTCAGGTTTTCACATGCATCCTATGTGGTATAACATTTCATACAATTAGTGCCATGTGTCGCAATTTTATTAATGTCAAAAGCTGAGCATTGAAGATGCTCTAAAAAAAGACACTAATAAACGGTCCGAAAAGTTCTCCCTTCAGAATTTCGTAAACAAATAAAAATATGCAAATACATATCCCAAATAAATATGCTTGCCCCGAGTGATTTTCTTGTAAAAGATCGAGAGATGTTTGTGAATTTGAAATGTTAAGGTGTACATTTTATCTAGAACTTCAAAATATTAAACCAAGTGATAATTAATAATTTGAATACTGACATAGTAATTAGTTAACAAAACTATTATTATTATTATTATAATTAAAGTAGCTAGTTGAATACTCCCTCCGTTCCTATATAAAAGTATCCATTTGTTTTCCACACATTTTAAGAAAGTGGGATTGGTTGGTACTGTTTGACACTTTTTGGACACTGTTTGACCCTGTTTTGCACTGTTTTGTTTGCCAAAAAAAGAAAGAGGACTTTTATTTAGGGACGACCCGAAAAGGAAACAGATGCTTTTATTTAGGGACGGAGGGAGTATAATTCTTTTATTCATTTTGGTCGTTGACGAAATGTAAGAGTAACATTATATGAATAGTAATTAGGGCAGAAAATGGAGAGAACAAAAAAGAAAGTGAGAAA